ATTTCTTTTTGAATTCGCCTTACCAGCGTTTAGTTTGAGAAACTTTAGTTGCTTTGGAATAGCTGGGTTATAAGGCCTAACGAACCCATGCTAGCTCATGGCACTTTCCATGTATGCTTCGTTTGGTCTTACAAATCTCCTCCATTTCACCGACTGTTCTGTTACGTGAGTTTATGAAAAGTCTTAATTTTGAGTCATTTACTTACGTCAATTCGGACTTACTCTCATCAAAGCCTGTTAACTTTCCAAAGTTTTCATTGGTGCAAGTACGCCTTTTTTGTAAATGAGGTCGTTCCATAAGTTTTGGCACTAGAGAAATCGGCACCAAATTTGTTAATTAGAGTAACTAAATTTGCATGATTTTGGTATCGTTCAATAGCGCATTTCTATGAACATTTTTGTACAGAACTTACCTATATTTGCTATGAGGTGATGGTGTTGTGGGAACAAGTGAGCTTGCTACTCAAGTACGAATGAACGCAGGTGAAAATGCTAGTGAAGCGGCGCGCAAAAGTAATGGAGCTTCTTGTGAACGATCCGAACGCGACCGATCCTCCGAACTGTTCCCTCCAGCTTTGACCTTATCGAACCACTTCCTTGCCATTCGTTCCGCTCCGGAACGTATCATTGCTTCAAGCTCCATTGATATTGTGCGTTGTTTCACTAGCATTTCCCCTAAACGCCACTCCTGCATGAGTAGCAAGCGAATTTTTACCAGGGCAGCTCCATCTCAAAGCAAATATTGGCATGTTTTATATTAAAATGTTTGCAAGGAAATGCGCAATTGAATACTATTGTTAGGCAATTATGATTATTTTCGGTTAATACTTCTGGTGTTTTATGCTCTAGTGCGAAAACTTATGAAGCGACGTAGAAACATGCGAACGATCAGATTACCTCCTTGTTTTGTCAATCTCGCTAAATTACTTATGAAACTCATTACGATTGGGAGTCTTTGTAAATCCATTTGCTGCATGCCACATACTTTTCAGTTCGGTGTAAATACCACGTGTACACCAATGTCAACTTTGACTGACTGCTGCTCAAATTTCTCAAAAATTCTGGTTATAAGGGGGCAAGTGAATATCCGGTCTTATTTGCTGGACAGGAACTTTTCATAGGAGTGATAGTAATCATTCGAAAGCTCAGAATTCTGGCTAGGGTCTTTGGCCGGTTTTTCAAAACACCCTTTTATGGCGCTGTAAACCAAAAGTAAAGCAATGTCTCAGACCCGCATATTTCTCGCCGAAAAGCGTTCTTTTTCGGGACCATTATATCATTCGATAGCGTTATATTTGATAATTCCAATGATGTGCCTTTATCCTAAAAAGAGCTTTACTCTGTAACGCATGAGAGAAAATAAGATTGATTCACATGGGTGCGCGAGGTGGTCTTTGGCCATTTCACGGGCCACTGTGTGAGGCGACATTGAGAGTTGCGCAATTATCGATGGATTTTCGACCGATTTTACTAAAGTGCCAGTCTTATTTTTAATTAGAAATTATTTCTCCGCTTTGAAAGAAAAACTCCTGAAAAAAAGGTGTGACTACGCTACAAAAAGACTTCACGTACTTTTACTATATCACGAATATGTATGAATCAGTCATCAATATGATGACTTTGATAAAATTGAGGAGGCGAGGACGTCTTAATTGCTTCCAATAGTGACCCGAGGAGATTTAGATACTAGGAGACTTTCTCTACACGTTCATATGATCGAAAATCGATCTATCACCGCATCAATCACCCTGCTGCCTCACCCAGCCTCCCGTGAGTTGGCCAAAGGCCACCTTGCGCACCCATGTGAATCAATCTTATTTTTCGTGCTGCGCTGCAAAAAAACAGCCTTTGAGGATATACGCATTGCGTTGGAATCAGCTAACATTACGCTATCGAATGATTACTGATAGTCTAAAAGAAGAGCTCTCTCCCGCGAGAAATATGCGCGTGTGGAACACAAGAAGTTCTCTACTGTGACGACGTCAAAAGTGGTCTTTTCGAAAACCGGCGACGTAGGGCTGTAGCCGAAGATTTGAGCTTTGGAATGATTATTAATAACTCAATGAAAAGTTCTTGTTCCAGCGAATAAAGTTGGATGTTCATTCGTCCCCTTTTGAAGTTTCTTGAGAAATCATGCTGTTGTTACTTTTTCACTATTAAAGAGTCATCAGAGCGCTATAGGAAGAGCCATTGGCTGACTCATCTACGACGCTCCGTCATACAGTTTATGCCAGGAATATGGAGCTTTTGGAAGAACTTATCTATCCCTCGTTGGAACTATATGGTAAATCAAAATCGGGCTATGAAGCCATTACTTTCTTGATCTTAGTTCGTGTCTATCACAATGAAATTCTGTGAGAAGTATGCATGCTATAATTTGATAATCTGTCAACCTCTAATTTGCTTTTTGATCAAGATATGAGGTTGTTGAAGTAAATCAGCACACTGAAATCTGTTGGCATAGTGTATCAATTGCTTGCCTTTTACATATAAGATGCTCGTTCTTTTCCATGAACTGCTCTTCACATATAGAAATAAACTCTAAGTGGGCGCACATTTCGAGAGGAAATCACTCATAGTGCTAAGCTCAAAGTTAAACGGTTTAAAATATTAATTTGAAGTCAACATGTAAATACTATGAACAAATACATCTCACATGATCCATTAGGAGGAACTAGCAAGTATAATACATAGACAAAGGGAAACGAACTACGTCTTTTCTTTTTTCGTATAGTTTACACAATGTTTTCTATGTCGTTAACAAAGGACCATGTGCGTTATTCCTAGATGTCATTAGGTGCCTAAGGTAAAAAGAGTGAATATGATAGTTCCAGGGTAAATACAGTGCATGAGAGCGGAGTAGCGCAGTGGTTAGTGGTGCGGTGTAACATTGAAACGAAGCGTTGAGCTACGCTCGGGTCGACCTCTCCCCTATAGAGAGCGTTACAATCAAACACTGAAGGCCTAGGAACGCCTTAGCTCGGTTACCTTTCGGAATAGAAAGGAGGATCGTCTCGATCACTGCGTGGCATATAGAGGAGTAATTCTCAAAGAGCAGCCGAAACAACACGTGAAATGTTGGAGGACCTATGCGGGGGATGAATGAGTGGACGAACGGAAGTGCTGTGATTCGTACAGTAAGTTGCGGTGAATGGCTTTACAAAAAATAAATTAACTAGTAGAGTACAAACTGAACAACTCAATATACAGATAGAGGAGCTTGGATTTTTTTGGAGCAGCTAATTGACATTCAAATCCAACAAAACTACTGTCAGTCAATTCGATCACACAAATCTGACATGTAATACCCGTTCATCACCGTTTTCAGTGAAAAGTGAATCAATGTTTTCGTTAATTTGATTTCTTGTGTTGTTTATCGGCTTCCTGTGGTAACGATGTTGATGAATGTGTTGTTGGCGTCAGTCTGAGCGAGTGGCATTAACAAGCACTGAGCAAAATTGCGCTGAGATCGCTACCATCCTATCACAGAAGCATTCGCAATGCGGCATGTCTCTGTGGAATCCATATTGGTCGACGAATTAGATATGCCGACATGGTTATGTTGGGATTCCAGCAAGGAATAGCTCACTGAACAATGAAAAATCATGGTGGTGGCTCAAGACATTATAATGATTGTTTTTTACGATGCTGATTTAACACATGAACAATTTCACACCGCGATTCACGACCCTTTTGAGAGATAAACTATACAAATTTGTATATGTTCAGAATAAGACCCAGACATCAAGTACGTCAAATATCATTTGATCACAATTAAGCCATAAAAAGCAAGCACGTTGACATACGTCAACTTTAAAATGAGGTCCTCATTATATACGTCTAGACTTTATACCGTTGTGTAATTTTGGTGATGCGAGGCACGTATTTATCATCTCTGTACTGTCACACCGACAATTCAGCAGAGAAAAATTACAGATAAAGACGTGTTACGCACATAGTGCAGTAGTTAGAGGAGCTCTGAAGAACGTACTAGGTCATTGGATCGGTACCTTTCCGGCCCCATTAAGCCTTCCGTTTCTCCGGTGTTGGCAAGATCATTAACGATTTGTACGGGTTCAGTACTCCCAATTCATGTGGGCACCCACGAACGTGGCTATCCCACGATGTCAGGGAGGATCGCACCGACCAGCATTCTCTACACCCTTAAACAAATCGGAAATCCTTAAGAGATAGTCGAATCCACAACCGGAAATCATTTGAACACCGTCTAGGAAGTGCTTAGTGTGGTCGAATAGGCACAGTTTCAGCCTGTTGACGATCGTCGATCGAGAGTGTCATTAGTGCGCAGTGTTTTTATGCACCGAAATCACTCAATGAATATAATATCTGTGGAACCCAAGAAAGATGAGGTTTTGGGTTTCCTTAGATTGCCGTTTATTTGTCCAGTTCAGAATAAGCAACGAAGGGCAAGGCAAAGAATTTTTGGGCCAGAAAAAAGAGTCAGTCATAACATGCTCTAGTACGTTAAGCAAATAAATTTCGTCCAGTCACTAACGGGATTTGCTATACCACCTCTTCTAGTCGTGCCAGATCTTATTCGCTATCGCTGTATTTGGTTTCTTTATCCCTATGATCCCTGCTATAAAGTAGGGTTCAAGGTGGGCGTGGGCCACTGATGAAGCGGGCGACATCGCCGAAACGTACGCATGCTTCCCACTTACCAACCTCGAAAAAGCCCTAAACACTCTCACAGACTATATTGAATGCTTTCTTCGTTTTAGTCATCTCACTCATTGATTTTATCACGAAGCTTAATTCTGAGATAAAGCAAGGATGACATGCCCTTCTATTATAAATCTATTACTGTGATTTCTTCATTAGATGCGTTTGCATACGTTGGAGAATTGCAAGTGGAAAGAGCTTCATTTCGTGATCCAGTTATTGAAAACATCAGAAATCGATAGACTATATTAATGAGGATGTTGCATGACATGCAAAGCTTTGAACCTTGGTCGGAGTTGAACCCTCATCTCACTCTTTCTTGGATAGTGCAGTGGTTAGCATGCGCGTCCAGAAAGGGTGAGACGCGGGCTCAACTCCCGTGCGAGGCTTAAGAATTTGCACATCATTCATAATCCTTCGATACAAGGTTATAACATCATAAAATTGCAATAAAACGGTGATTCTTGTAAATCACTTGACGGGCATTACTAGGTGTCTCACTATACACTTAAGGTCAAATATACACTGTACACTTAAGGTCAAATATAATTTCTGGGAAGATTCATTAGATAGTAAGTGCTCTATGCTTCATCACATTCCATATATCCATCGTCGGCACAATGACAGTGATTACCAATTGGTGGGTGACCCAGCGGGCCATAGACGTACACAACATCCACACATATTGTGTCAGTTACCACTGCTCATCCCTCTCTCTTTTAGCCTCCTATCAATGAAGCATTTTCACTCAGAGGAGATTAACATTCGGCAAACATTAGCGGCTTAGTCTCATATCAGTTTCGGCCATTGTTTTCAAAGTTGATTCAGTGGTGTTGATGATTTACGCTGAACTAGAGTATATTGGGATTATAGGAGCTCTTGCCTAACACCTCATCAAGTCTCATTGAGAACTGTTTGATTGTTGGTTCAATGTAGACAGGTTCAAAAGGAACGAACCGGCCCCAGCACTTCAGTTCTTGCAGTCATGAATAGAGGTCGCCGTTCTCGGATCAGCGCCTGCTGATGTCGAATTTTATCGATTTATTATTGTTGTTGTCTGGATTTAGGCACTCTGTTACGGGATCATTATATCTAGCAGGCATGTGTGTTGACAAAATTTGTTGTTCTTGATGAATGGAACCCATGTGTCTCTTGATGGTGTGATTCTTTCGTATAAGAGTGAATTATCGTATTATCCTGAACACCATGCTAGTGACTGATTCAATCACGAAATCCTGTTGGTTCGCTTGAGATCGTACCGTAATGTCGATGATGCTGTGCTGTGCACTTCAATCAGCTTACTAATTGTCGATGAACTTTATTCATCACCTGGCATCACCTGTCATCACGTCGTTGTTCGTCAAGTGACTCGTTCCGGTACTAGTTTTCCTGTTTCCCTATCACGGACAAGAGTAATCCAATGGGTATCTTCTCGCTTTAGGGATTCGTTAAGCACCTTATCTGGCTTTCAAGGACTTTGGAAGGAACTCTGTAAATCGGGTCGTGGCGTTGTCTCGCTGCTGTTTGTTTCTGATCCTCAGAAATCCAGTAGCTAATGGCTCTTGTCCATCCGTCGTCCTTCAGACGCTCCACGTATCCGGTCTACCTGTGATTTCGACATTTTCGACTATTTATCAATTTGCTCACTGACTGCATCATAGCGGGAATGGAACAGCGCAGTGGTTAGCAATGTAGTCTCATAGGAAGCGAGAACTGGTTCGATCCCTTCCCCAAAAGAGAATTGTAATAAGGGATCGTTTGAAATGTATTACAAAAGAAATAAATAGACCATAGCTGAATATAGCCCTTTAGGAACAGCAGTCTATTGTCGCTGTCATCGTCGTCCGGCTCTGCGTCCGTGTTTTCCGCATGGTTGACTCGGTCCTCTGCTTCTGCTTTTCGTTCACTCTGCCTCAGCTTCTATGTGGGACGTGTGTATACACACGTATGTGTATATATATGTACGTATATCTGTCTGTATGTTTGTATGTCTACGACTTTGTGTGCTTGTATGTATTATTCCGTGTATTGTGTGTAGTTGATCGTTCTGTGTGTGCTCATTCTATCGATCTATTTATTTATTTTTCTTTTTAATCTCATGACAAATGGTGACCAGTTCACTTTGTACATAACCAATAATGTATGGATATATCCCGAATCCTGAAACTTTCCGGATAACCCGTCTATTCTATCCGTATTGATCTCCTTGAGTCGATGGCAGTGATGGCAATTTCACGCGTCATCGCTCTGTTCCCAAATAGTCCCGTCGTACCCGTTCACATTCATCTTGTAATCTTTGATTCATCCTCCCATTATGAACATTTCATCTCTTTCGTCGTCCCACCGAAGTAAAAGTAATGAGCATTCGTCATCGATATGAATCATGTCGGTCGTTCCATGGTCATCGTCGTTCGCGCTGTGATCTACGACCCCCACAGCGCGAAATTTGACCTCAGCTCAAATGAAAACCTTCTCCTTATAGAGGCCTTCATTATTACTAACAAAAATGCTAATAGATCAGATTCCTTCAAAGATTTTTGAACCATGGGATGTAACTTGATAATTAGAATTTCAATTAAACATGTTAAAATTGAAGTTAGTAAGGTATAAAGTAGTGTGAGTCCGAAGCTCTGTAAGTTATTTTTGTCGCCGTGTCTATGACTGATAGACTGATAGAGTGATGTATGTCTGAAGAGGAATATGAGTGTAAAAACGTGTCTGTTTATGTTGCAGCAGCAGAACGTTGCTTATGAGTTTTTTTCCCTTTTTTTCCTCATTTTTTTTTGTTTTTTTTTCTCTTCTAGACGATGTACTTTTGCATTTGCTCGGACAGCAGTCTTCAAACGTGCAACGATTTTTATAAGATATCTCAAGTTCGTTTTCATATTTATCTCGTAGCCTAATGGTTTCAATGTGAGTCAAATAAGCCTCATACGTGGTTGGAAATATTTTAGTGCATTTTTGCTCTATTGGACATAATTTTGCCATTGTTCAGCAGTCAACAGTCTTCAGATGACCAACGTTTTTTAGTGATTCTTCAAGCTTATTTTCGTATCTGCCTTCTCACATAAAATTTTCCACTGTCAGTCAATTGTGACTCATGTATGACCGAAAATCTTTTTCTAGTTAACTCTCGTATTTGGAACGGACGATCAAGCGTCTGCTTCTAATGAAATTCACTTAATTGAATGGAATGACAGCCACTTAGAAACTGCTGATCTTTACTAAGAAGTACAAGTTCTCTTACTTGAAGTTCGTACAGATTAGTTTTCTTTTTTTCATTTTATTTGAGGCTAATTCATTCAAGGGAATGAAATGCTCTCTGTTCCCGAGATAATCATCTATATCTGTGACTGCTTGCCACTGATTTTGAAGCTTTTTAAACTTTTAAGCTCTTTGAGCCTTTGAAAATTAGGATTTTCATATAAACTGAGGAGTTTATAAAGTCATTTGTACTCTTATAGGAAAAAGTATCCAGCATGTAGCGAATTGATATAACAAGGTTCTGCTTTCTTATTCCAGAAAGTTTTTTTTTCTTCATGTTCTCCAGTGTTAGTAGTTGTTGAAAAAAAAATTATCATCTGACTTCACGACGAAAACGTAGCCGCGTCTCAAATCTTTTAATCCGTCTTGGTCACTCCTAAGCTCCTTACTTCATTTTCCGTTGACCGATTGCATTTTTTTTCCACTTACTCTTAGTAGATCACTTTCATTGTACTTCAAAAATCGATTTAACCTCTAAATTCCGCACTGCCAATTAATAATAGTTTCTTCTGTGATCTACCTCATAGCCTCTATTGTCTTGTGACTTTCTTGGTGGCTTTCCGGGCTTTGTTTTTTATATATTCGGATTTTGTCTTGCAGTTGGTCTTGTTTGATCGATCATCGTTCGCCTTTGTCCTGCTTTTTCTCCTAATTCATTCGTTGAATTATTCGCCTTGTCTCTCTAAATTATACCTTTTAAGTTGGTCAGAAGTGAACTTTCGCTTCTTCCGCTTACATTTGTCCGAATAGCCACTTGTTATTCATGACGCATAGTTGAATGGTGGTTTTCTTGTGAAAGCAGAATGACGGATATGTGTAGAAAACGCCTGTGTCAATGTTTGCCCGTTCCATCCGTCCTCGTTGGTTCTTTTCAGAGAAAGCCGTTCCACTGGTGATAATCGCCTCGAACAGTCTGGACACCGACGTTTCACATCGCCTTCGATCTCGTCTTCCATCATTAGTCGGTATCCATCATTCTGCTGGATATGGGTGGACAGCAGAGTAGCGCTAAAAGTGATGGAAGTGCTGCTTCAGTCAGACATGCATGTAGTGCTACCGAATGCTCGTTTTTCAATACGGGTTAGTCGATGTATCGATTATTTTTTGAACTTTTTTAATGCCATTACTATCAGTTCACTATTTTTCCTTATTGAGCAGATGAGTCGTTATCAATGTAGTCTATTAAACAGTGAAATAAAATAAATGCTGACGTTTCGTTGGTGGTTTCACCTTCTTCAAGGCCTTCGTATTGTGTTGGGAAAAAATTTTCCGCACCTTATTTTTGTCGATGATTTTCCATGTATCTAAGTTTTTGTTCTTATTGTCGTATAGAGCAGCTTCCTGCGGTTAATTCGATATATAACACCTAAGCATTTGTTCTAAGATGGATTTGTCCCGAGAGCAAAAACCATTGTTGATGCTACACAAGTATCTCGTGGGTTCAGGTGCAGCTTTGGCACGCATCGATATTCGTGTAGCGTCAACAATCGTTTTTGCTCTCGGGACATTTCCATTTTAGAACAAATTTTCATGTTTAAAATATCAAAATAGCCGCTAGAAGCTGCTTTAAACGACAGTTGAAGCAAGAACTCAAGTGCATTGAAAAAGAATCAACAAAAAGAAGAAGTCCGGAAAATTTATTGCCAACCTGTTAGCTCAGATGACTCCCAGTCTACTCAGTCAAATACTCTCATGACTTCGGCAGAAAACTCTATAAGTTTTTCTTTTGATAGGGTGAAGATGGCGAAACTCGAAACGTTAGCCATCTTATTGTAGTGTGTCATTGTATTAATTAACTTTTTACAACCACGCATTTGCTTATCAGAGAGAGTACTGAGTAATTAAGTCGGTGTTGTTCCCGGGATTTGTTAAGTGATACGCCATTACAGATCAAATCTTTTCTTTTCTTTCTACAAAGCGTCCTATTTTTTCTGGATGAGCAGATACGAGATTTTCAGTAGTATTGCTTAAAGAATACAATAATACAGCGGTGTAATTATACACCAGAAAATGTTTCGCCGGCAGTATCGCCTTTTTTGGAGCCTTGGTAGATCAAAACCCCTGCAAGAGGGATTTCTTTTCCACTGTATCACTGCATTCAGTAAATACTACTGTCAACATTCACGAGGAG